GGCTGCATGTGTGCGTTCTTCTGTTTTCGTTTCTTTATTGTTTTCTTTTTTTTTAGAGGAGTCTTTGCGGGTTTGGTGTTATCATTCTCGTTAGTTGATGCTACCGGGAGATGTTTTGCCTGTTGATGCGGGGCAGTACGGCTTCGTGGCGGATACGATGTCTCCGCTGACGTATTTGTTGCATCACCTTGGAGCGACGGTGGCGACGCGCGAGTTGTTGTTGGTGGTGCTGCTGTTTGTCGGTGCTGCATTGCGTGTGTTGGTGCCTGAGATCTTTGCGGTGATGAAGGAACGGTTGTGGCATTCGTCGGCTGTTTATGTAGAACGGAGTGTGACGGTACACCTTTCGACGCTTACAGTAGGCACTGTTTCGCATCGTAATGCTCTTCTGCAGAACGCTATTTTTTATTTTCTTTACCATAACTTTTGGCGAACCTCATTGCCGAAGTCGGTGTGGCATGATAAAGTGTCGGTGCTGTTGCTGATTGATCCTTTACGGAGTTCGTGGGAGGAGCGCTATGACTCCCCGTTTCGTCTCTCTTTCTGTGGTGACAGCGATGATGTGTTTTGTGAGGATCCAAACTGGCGTAGCCGCAAAGAGTTGACGCGATATGTGTTGGTGCGGGTGCCGACAGAAGGGTCGTGGGTCGCAGTGAGCGAGGACGGCGTTGAGTTGACATATGATCGTAAGCGCGAGAATAAGGATGGGGTTGATGGGGTGCGGCGCACCGTTATTTTGCGGGCTTTGGGGGCTAAAGACGCGGATGATCGGATTAGACGCTTTTTGGATGTTGCGTTGGAACACTACATAGGCATGCTGCCGACCGTCCTGAATGACGGGAGGGTCTTGCTGCAGCTCCAGAGGCCCTCCGCCGAAGGGGGGGGTGCGGGTCGGGTGTTGTTCAAGCGGTACCCCCTTTCCTATCACAAAACGTTCGACACGCTTTTTTTCCCAGAGAAGCGCCATGTTTTAAAGGTTGTGGATGACTTTTTGGAGAGGAAGGGACGCTTTGCGACGGAGGGATTTCCTGTGAAACTCGGATTTCTTCTTTATGGTCCGCCCGGCACTGGCAAGACCTCGTTCGTGAAGGCACTTGCTGCATACACACGACGCCACGTGATTAGTGTGAATTTGTCCTTTTTGAGGTCAAATCAGGAGCTTTGTGATATCTTCCTCAGTCGTGAGTTTCATTGCGTTGGGGAGTCCGAGCCCACGTTCTTTGGCGCGGAGGATGTCATCTTTCTCCTGGATGACGTGGACGCGTCGAACCCGATGGTGCGTTCGCGTGTGCGCAAGTGTCGGCCCGCCACACTGAGGACCTCTGCGAATGCTGCGGCAACTGCCCCTGTTAACGCTGCCGGCAGCGATGAAGATAATCTTGTTGCCACTCTCGACGTCGACGACGGCAATGGTAGTACCGAGGACGGCAGCCATAAAAGCACTGACGATGCGGATACTGGGTCATACTCTGATCGGCACGTGAATCCTGTGAGTCGACTGATGTTTGGCCGGCTTGGTTCTTCCTCCCCCGCTGATTCCTTCGCCCCCTTCGCCTTGGTGAGTCGGTCTGCCGATAAGGAGAGGACAGCAGAAAATTCGCTGCTAAAGGTGTTGCAGTCAACCGATGCGGCAAATCTTTCGGGTTTACTGAACGTGCTTGATGGCGCCGTTGACACGCCTGGCCGCATTGTGGTCATGATCACAAGCCACCCCAAGCTGCTTGACCCGGCGCTGGTGCGACCTGGACGTTTTAGCTTTAAGCTGCGTCTAGACTACGTGCGACTGCCCGCGTTGCTGGACATGCTGGGGTTGCACTTTGGGTCTATCGACCTCGGCGAGGGTGAAGACGTAGATGAGAAAACGTCAGTGAACTTGATTGCAAACAGCACGTGTGCAGCAAGGTTGGTTTCATTACCGAGGCTCAGCGACGTCGAGGCGGAACATGTGCGACAGGTCATCACCACGCTTCACGCGAAAAGAAACCAGACTGAAGGTGATTCACTGGGGTTTACTATATCTCCTGCGGAGGTTGAGTCAATGTGTACGGTGTCTAGCACGTTAGATGAATTTCTTGAGCTCTTAGGACCACGCCTCAACAGCAGTGAGAAGGGAATATAAATGTAGGTGTTCCACCACGTGTTTGTCATGCTTGCCAGGTGCCATGTTTTTGTTTTTGTTTTTTATTTGGCTGTTTCTTTCTCTCTCTCTCTCTCTCTCTCACTACGCTCCTCTGTGGGTGGGGGCGTTTGTGCGACACCTTACACTGGTACAAGCTCACTTAAATCTCCAACGTCTTCTTGTGACTCACCCACGCCCTCAATTAATCCCATATTTTTGTGTATTTTTTTTATATACCGAATTATATGCTTCGTTTTTTTTGTTTTTTTTGATATGATGCGAAGGAAATACACATGGGCGCAACAAGACGGATATCGGCCGCCGCGATTGCGACAACCGGACTTTTGTTTGGCGGCAGTAGTCTTGTTGCATATGCGTGGTGGCATCGATCCCTGTATGCTGCAGATAGTTATGGACAGCAACGTGGCGTCAATGCATTGGCTCCAACGGATCCACTTGCCCGATTCCACCACTATGCAGCGTGCGATGCGGACGGAATCAAGGCGTTGGATTCCGCAGGCCTCATTGCCTGTTTGTGTCTTCTTGACGAGGAGAGCAGGCAGTCGCTTGCACGCGAGGGACAGGATCACCTCCCGCCCCATGTCCGTCAACGTCTCGAACATGTGTTTCATCTCGTGGACGTTGACCATGATAGCAGCCTTTCGTATGAGGAATTTTGTATTCTCCTCACTCTGCTCTCAGTGCGTCGCCATCACCTAAAGCTGGCCTTTGGAGTCTTCGACAGGGACGAGGATGGGCGTCTTTCGAGGCATGAATTCCGGCATTTGTTGAATGCATTGATGGTAGACCCCGCAGTGCAGGTGGTTAAGCACCGGCCTTCCCCAAATCAACAACAACCGACGACAGACCCGAGCTCTGGGGTCTCGCTCACACCCATCGTAGTCGATTCTGAGGTCCCAAGGCAAAGACAGAGTGGCGTGTCGACAGTCACAAAAGAGGCGCTGTTAACATCCCCGCTGGCCGAGCACTTTTTTGGAATTCACAGCAAGCAATGTATTTCGTTTGAAGAATTTTGGTTAATGTTGCGTGAGCTTCGGCGGGAGGTGTGGGGGGTGGCGTTTGGCCTGTATGACCTAAGAAACACCGGCCAAATCACTTTGCAGGACCTTAGGCGTATTATCTTCCGCGGTGGTGGCAAGGAACAGCACAGGAGTGTTATTGACGGCGTTTCCAACGTACAGGAGGAGGAGCTGGAGAGGAGGGCGAATATGAGCCCGGAGAAGGAACTCATCTCTTGGGACTTCTACCTCAAGCTGCTTGATGTTCTCTGCGAGTGCGACGCGGTTGCTTATGCGATGGATCTCTTCCGCAGGGCAAAGCTCCCGGAGGTCACAGCCGCACGTCTTGGACAGCAGCATCCAACGGAGTCCAAAACGGGACGGACAGACTCCTCTCTTCAAAGCAGTGGCGAGTGTGAGATGGATAGTGTGGAGTTATATCGTGCTCTGACGGCGTGTAAAGAACTTTCACACATCACAAGGGAGGATGCGGATCGACTGTTGCGTATTTTTCATTTAAATGGTTTGGGGAGGTTGTCACCTGCCGAGTTTGCGCAGGTGTGTGGACTGCGCACCACCTTCTTTACGCCACGGCAATCACGATTTACTGAACTCCAACGGAACCCCGTGCAGCGGTTCATTTTTTGTATGCAACAGCTGAAGTAGTCGAACGCAGCTGCGACAGTTTTTCTATTCAGGCTGACGATGTAGTCGTTTGTCATTTTTTTGTGCCTGACTCACTTCTCCCTCTTCCACAGCCTGTTTTGGTTTTGGTTTTGTCTGTGTGTGTGGGTGAGTGGTTTGAAATGGAGAGAACGAGAGGGAGCAAAGGTTTCTGGCGTGAGGGCGGGCATTATTGCGTGCTTTTTTTTCGTTTGTGTGTTTTCACTGCCGCGGGGATACGCTATTTGTTTTTGTTGTTTCTTCTCCACTTGTTTACCGGGCCAACACACACACAAATGGAGCCAACTCTTCCGGACAGTTTCACCGTGACGCTTCACCTTAGGGGCAACCCAACCGTCGGAACCCTGGGTAGTTTATTCGCAAAATCAGAAAAAAATGTTTACGTTCGATGGGAAAACTGATGATGCAGTGATGGAGCTCCCTAGCTTCTCGTTTTACGAGTATCAGAAGGAGTTGTGCCGCATGGTGATTTCCAAAGATAGCATCGTTTTCCTTCCCACGGGAGGTGGGAAAACGGTGATTGCTGGCGGAGTAGCCTTCGCAAAGATCAACGAATTGCCCACCAAGAAGGTGGTGTTTGTTGTACATCGCGTCCCGTTGGTGAAACAGCAGGCCGACGCTTTGAAACGTGTGATGGGCGAGGAAACTGAAGTGGAGACTGTCAGTGGTCCAAAGAAATCTGTGAAGAGCTGGGAAGAATTCGTGAGAAAGCCTTCCCAGGTGCTGGTCATTATCGACAGTATCTTTTATAGCTGGGTTTTTGAGTGCCCCAGGGCGCTTGCCGAACAGATCAGCCTGGTCATCATTGACGAAGTGCACAACGCGTTGGGGGGCTTTCCGCGAAAGCTTGTGGAAATGATCCACAAGGTGAGAAAGTGTGGTGGGGTGTCAGGCTCACATGACGGCTATGCGGACAGGCCGCTCCCGCAGATTTTGGGTCTCACCGCCTCCCCCGTACGATCCTTCACGCAACATGAGAGTCTTACTGAGCTGCTCGACATTACTCGCTGCGAGATCGTCTCAGTATCAAGAGAAGTACATGACCTGCGAGACAAGGTTCCTGTTCCTCTGACTATAGCGTTGGAGTACGTTCTTTCCCCTCCTGAGGCAGCGTTTGAGTTGTATCTTCGCAGCATCGTCCAGGAAATACACGATGATAATAAAGTCACAACTCATTCCCTTCTTAAGAAATTGTGCGCCTGTTATGTGGCGACGCCGGCGTACGTAAACAAATGTGAACAGCTGCAAAATGCTGCTTTGCAAGGAACAAAAGGAAGACATGAGTTGTTTGCCTTTACCGTGGCAAAATTCCTTTCACACGTCTCAAAGGCTCTCACTGCATTGGAAGAAGAGTCACTGGAACAGGCATTTAATCTGGTCATGCACAAAAACGTATTTGATTACTTGCGAAAGGACCGAGACGCCGCGGAATTTCTTCTGCCGTTTCTTGAAGGGATAATTGTGGTGATGCAACATCTCAAAGAGTACTATATGGGCCACACTATGAGCCGAGGGGCTGAGGAAGAATCTCAAAATCCCTTTAGGCTCTCATCCAAGATATCATTTCTGATGCACTTGCTGCGATGGTTTGCAGAAAGTACAACTTCTGCGAAAGTCGATGTTAGTGGAATTATATTTTGTGATACACGAGCTTCCGTGTATCGCATTATAAGTGAAATTAATAAAACGCCGTTGAAGGATATATACAAGCCGAGAGCTTTTGTTGGTATGGGAAATACCCTCTTGGACGATGAAGACGTACATATGACCGAAGCACTACAGAGGAGGGTGTTGGAAGACTTTAGAGGAGGCGTGACAAAGCTTTTGGTGGCAACTTCAGTGGCTGAGGAGGGACTGGATATTGCCTTGTGCAACATTGTTATACGATACGACTCCTGTATGACGCTCCGCAGCTTCATTCAAAGCCGCGGTCGCGCAAGGTCACGTAACGCTGTTTTTTTTGTTTTCGAACATATGAAGCGGCCGTTTAAGGTTGCGAAAGTTGCAGCGAAGGCAGTGGCGATACAGGATGAAATCGTAAAGACGGCCGTTAGGAGGCAAAGAACGCTCGCTATGGAGCAGCATCCGTGGCAAATGGACCCATCGTGGTGGCTGAAACGGTTGGAAGAGCAGCCCTGGGCCACTGTTCTGAGGAAGGAGACAGAAAGGGGTTTTGGTGGCACAGAGGGCGCGTGGGTATGTGAGTTCACCGCTCTCATTTCAGGAAAGGAAGGGTCTCCGATTCCTGTGTCAAAAAAATACAACGCTGTTGGAAATGGATCGCTTTGGAATGCAAGGAGAACGGCGGAGAGGATGTTATGTGATGCCTTGGGAGTTGCAGTATTTTCTTCGCTTGCTCCAGAGTGTGGTGAGAATTCAAAAAATATGCCGCTGAAGTTTTTGTCGGGTGGTCTCTGCGTCTGTCAAACATCCACTATTTCTGCGGAGGAGTTGCGGAAGAAGTATGCCCCTGAAGCCGAAGAGGTGGAGAAATACAGTGCATTAGATTGGCATTCACAGAAGCCCTCATATTTACTGTTGGAGGAGGTTCGCCGCCGCCGGCTACCAAAACACGAGATTGATGTGGACCACAAGGGAGAAACGTGCACTATTCGCATACGTGTTTCTCGACGGACATCCATGGGTGAGTTTGAGTCAAAGGAGTTCTTGGAGGACGGAGACAACCCACTGGAGCAGGCCTCGCTGGAGGCCCTTCGCTTTCTGGGCGTTATATTTTTTAAAGGTGTGCCATCAAATGTTGTGCAGCTCATCGATGTATTGGCTATGCGACACAAACTCATTGGAGGCGACGCAGCATGAGTCTGCGAGGGTAATAACCTTAACAAGAATAAGGCGAGAAGCTGGAGAATAGGATGGATAACGCCAATGGGTTTGTATTTTCTGGGGATGGGGACGCAGCTGGGCAGCAGCGTTCTTGTCAGCCATTCTTCTTACCTCTTTCTTTCTTTTTTTCTTTTTTTTTTGGTGCTAGCAGAGCACGAAGGCAATAATGGAGAAGGGAAGTGTGCATGGACGTATAATTGTATTTGCGTTTCATTGTCAGTAATGAATACATGTATACACTATTATTATTTTTTTGAGTTCGTTTATCATCGAGCCCTAAAAAAAGACGGAGGGAGGGAGAAAGGTACGCGAAAGAAAAGAGGGAATGAAAATGGGAAGAGTGGTGAGGCGATGAACGAGTTTGCATCTACTTGGCTTTGATGCCTGGCTTGTTGTCCGGCTTTTTGGGCAAAAGTGATGTGCGCGAGGGGATGCTTCTTTGTTCCCAGCCCTCGGTTTGGTTTGGTTTGGTGTTTGTTTTTTTTTTGCTTTTTGCTTGCGTGTGTGGGGAAAGGTGCGCCTTTGAGGATGATTTGGAAGAGCGGTCGGAACGAGGGATAGAACGACCCCTGCATTTGTTTTTTGTTTTTGACCGTGATGGCAGTGGTGCCTCGAGTTGAGGTTCCGTGGAGAGCGCCAGATGGAGGGTGAGTCAGAGAGGAGGCCAAAATAGTTATATGGATGCTTACTTTGGGATAATATGGCTTAACATATTTTGTTTTTTCGTTTCCCCCCCCCCCCCCCCCCTTTTTTTTTTTTTTATTGCGTTTCTGGTGGTCACTTTTTCGTTTTAGTTATGTGATGAATAAATGTTGGGTGTACGCATCAAACAGTTTGCTTTGGCGCACGTGGCGAGGAGCCGACAACTAACGTCTATATCGATGCGCATTGCATCTCTGCAGCTGGCCATGTGTTTTGCGCCCTCCTCCCCCCCCCCCCCCCCCCCCTCCCACTCCTCACCATCCCTGACGCTCCCTGGCGTCACTTTTGTTCCCAACTCTGTGCGGCAACAGGTTTCACAGGGGCCCATCCCACGCCCGAGAAGAAGACAAAGACGTGAGTGGGCAAGTTGTGTGGTGTGGCGTAAAGAAGAAAGGGCGGCGCGCTGGCGGTGTGGCGTCACGACCAACCCGTACAAAGCAAAGGAGGAAAAACAAACGGTAACAACAACAGCGTGTAGGAGTTACACCCAAGCTTTTACGTTCTCCCCACTCCTCACCCCACGTCCGTTTTTGATCGCCTGCTTGTTTTGTGTGTGGTGTTGGAGGCTGCGGTAACATCGGCGCGGGTATCTTGACTCGTTAAACGTTCATGCAGCAGATACCGCCTCCGACAGGAAGCGTCAGTCTCACGGCTGCCAGTAGCTGTATTGGCCGAAACAACAAGTCTAGAACACTCCTCGAGGATAGTTTCCCCGCCCTCATTGGACCCTCGCTGCCGTGGAAGTACCGCCAGCCTCGTCCCTTGGGCCGTGGCGCCTGGAGTACCGTCTGGACCCTCATCGATAACGCCACGAATGAAATTGTTGTGGGTAAACTCTCCAACTTAGCCCTTATGTCGGAGCAGAACAAAAATTTTGCTCGCTCCGAGGCGGTGAACATCTTGAGTTGCGAGCACCCAAACATCATTCGTCTCCTGGAAACATACGAGCAGAATGGGAAATTGCTGCACATACTAGAATACGCTGACGCGGGGGATTTGATGACTCAAGTGGAGGTTCGCGCAAATAGTTTGTCTTGGGCAGAGAATGGCATTGCCTTTGTGGGGCGCAAAGGCGTCGCGGGGACTGCACCGTTTTATTACAGGGAGAAGGAGGTTCTTATTATTTTGGCGCAAATCTGCCTTGCCGTAAAGTACATCCATGAGAAGAAGATCATGCATCGTGATCTTAAAACGTCCAATATTTTGCTTCGAAAAAATGGTCTTATTAAATTAGGCGACTTTGGTTTATCGCAAAAATGTACCCAGAACCTTTCTGGTGTGGAGGAAACGTTCTGTGGGACACCCCACTATCTTTCTCCGGAGCTTTGGCGCCGAGAAAGCTACAACTACAAGGCTGACATTTGGTCCCTGGGCGTCCTGCTTTACGAGCTGATGGCATTGCGGAAACCGTTTATCTGCAACAGCATGCAGGAACTGATGCAGCGCGTGCTGACAGAAGGGAGCTATGACCCGCTGCCGGCAGACAGGTACAGTGAGGGGGTGCGCGACCTTTGCTACGCCATGCTGCGCGTTAACCCACATGAGCGGCCTAACATCATAGAGGTTTTTGAGACGCCCGTCCTGTTGAATGGAGGATTAGAGTACCTGAAAAAAAATCTGATGAGGTTGCGTAAAATTGAAGACGCAGTGCGAAGCCGTTTGTTGTGGGAGGTAGATTCCGTGCAGCATACGTGTTGTATCGAGCACCCGCTCTCGGTGTCAAGGAGCATCAGCGCAGAACGGAAGGAGACGCAATCCTCAGAAGACAACGAAAGCGGCGGCAGCGCGGTGAGTTCCAGCGTTGCGTAGATTTTTGCCGCGGACACAACGGGGGACGTGTGGGAGCACATATCGTGTGGGTGTGGGGCCGAGGGACGGGACAGGCAGAGCCAGGATATGGAAGACAACAGCGAAGCTACCGATGCGGAGGGGACCTTCCTGCATTTCCTCCTCCGCTCCTTACACAGAGAGCGAAAAGCATCCACCCACAAATTTGGCGAAGGGGTAACATACACAATACAACTAAAAAAGAAAGGAGACAAGATGCAGAAGAAGAGAAATCAACGAAGCAAGTAGTAAAACTGCATGATATTTTTTTTTTCTGGAGCGTATGGAACGTCGCTCGGCAGGAGAAGCACAAACAGAGATTTGCCACCAAGCCTACGAGCAGGCAACGTCAGCAGAGGGGAGAGGTGTGGTCGGGAGAAGAAAAATTTTTTAGGATCCCTTTTGTTCTTATTCCGGCTGTTGTTTATTTGTCCGTTATTTGCCGGTATCATTGCCGACCCCTCCCATGCTATTGCGCACACACATGCATGGGAACATGTTGATAGTGTGCATATGCATGCATGTGTGGGTGAGTGGGTGGATGATTAAAAAAAAAATGCACTTTCTTTGTTGTTGTTGTTGTTTTTTACTTGTTGCGGTGATAGGTGTTTCTTTCCTGGCGGCACGGTGGAGAAGGCTGTTACGCCCTGCAAGGGAAGAGCAGGAGGAGGCCGCTAATAATATCAATAGCGGAGGCAACTGAGGAAAGGAAATACATACAAGCACAACACACTTAGATCTATACGCACTGCTTGTGGTGAGAAGGTGTTAAGGCACACAGGAAGGTGACACGGTGGAAGCGTAAGAGGTGGTGATAGAACTTGCCGCTCACTGTATTTCCCTCGCGCAAGTCCTGCGTGTGTTTGCTGCGCCGTCGGGGTTATTGATTACCTCAAGTGGGGCGTGTACACAAGCACCGTGGTCGAGGCGGTCATACAATTAAACTGAGAAAGAGGGGTCGTGGTGGTGGTAATAGTTGGGAATGGCCTCCGAGACATCGGCGGTGTTTGTGACGGTGCGTGTGCGGCCGCTTAACGTACGCGAGTCGCCGCTTGAATGTGCGGTGACCGTCCTCGATGATCACACCATCACGCTGATAGATCTTAGTACCACGACGATGGGTGTCAGTAACAGCATCAGCGGCCAGCAGCATGTCTTTACATTTGATAAAATCTTCTGGAGTGTGCCGCCCGATGTCTTGCCTTTCTGCCCTTCAGCGGCGACTCCACCAACGCCGTCGCCGCGTGTCTCATTTATAGAGGGCATGGCACAAACTGTTGCCTTCCGTAGTGCGTCCTTTGCGTCTACTGGGCCTCTTGTATGCACCAGGAGCAACACCCTTGTCAGTAATCTTTCGGACACGTCCTCTGCCACAACGTTGCGGGTGCCCTTCAGCGGATTGCCTTGTTTTGCTCGTGTGCCGGAGTATGATGACCAGGAATCCGTCTACGGATCTATTGGTCCGCGTTTGTATGAGGCGGTCATGACCGGGTACAACGCATGCCTTTTTGCTTATGGACAGACGGGCAGTGGAAAGACGTACAGTTTGCTTGGTCCGCCCGAGGATCACTCGCTGCGTTCCGAAGAACGCGGTATCATGCCACGCCTCTGCAACGATCTTTTTGAGTTGATGCGAAAGGAGCGTGAGGAAGATGAATCCGTCACGTATAATGTGGAGTGCTGTTTCTTAGAGATTTACTGTGAACGGGTCCACGACTTACTTTTCCACAGCACTGGTGGGGGAGATAATGGCTCGCGTAGAGACTCAGTAACCGCGGGTGGTGCTGGGGCGGGCCATTTGCCATCGTCGTCATCATCGTTGCAGCCGTCATTACGTGTCCGGCAGCACCCGGCACGTGGGCCATACGTGGAGGGCCTCTCGCTCGTAAAGGTTCGGGATGCAGAGGGTGTTATGAAACAACTTTTGACCGGCCTGCGTGAACGCGCGACGTCAGCGACAAGAATGAACGAGCACAGCAGTCGCAGCCACGCAATCCTGCAGCTGCACATCACGCGTGTGACAGTAGTGAGAGAAGAAGCCGCCGTGGTGACAAAGACGCGGGTCTGTAAAGTTAACATGGTTGATCTTGCGGGGAGTGAGCGGGTGGCGCAGTCTGGTGCCACAGGTGATCGGTTTGAGGAGGCTCGTAATATCAACTTGTCTCTAACCACGCTTGGGCGGGTGATTCTACAGTTATCGGAAAAGCAATCAGGGAAACGTGTCATTCCCGCGTACCGCGACAGTGTGCTCACCTGGCTGCTCTCCGACAGCTTGGGTGGAAACAGTAAAACGATGATGCTTGCCACCATTGCGCCCTCCTCCTACTGCTACCAGCAGACGCTCAACACGCTTCGCTTTGCGGGAGTGACAAAGAAGGTGATTAACGTCGCCACCGTCAACGAAGACAGCCACTTCCAGAAGCTGATTGCGGCACTGCGGCAGCAAATTGTGAGGTTGACGCTTCAGCTGGAGGAGGGGAAGGCGGCGGAAGTTCACCATGAGGAAATTCAAGCGATCCGTCGCGAAAGGGATGAACTTGAATCCCAGCTGGTCTCCATGCGGACGACAATGTTGACGATGGTGCCAGCAACGGAGCTGACGGTGCTTAAGCGACGCGTCGCGGACCTTGACGAGGCCAACGCGCAGCTCCACAAGGAGAAGAGTGAAGTGCAACGGAAACTTATTTCCTCCACAACGGCGCTTCGTGAAGAGTTGGCCCAACAGCGTGCGGAAATTATGAGCCTGCACGAGGCGCTTCTACGGAAAGGTGGCGAGCTGGAAGAGTGGAAAAGGAGTTACCGCGAGGATTTGGTGGGGCACGGCCAGTCACAGCCAAAACTGCAACAACAACTGCAGCAGCAATATGTGGAGAGTGTCTCTTCGGGTGATACGAAAGCGGGGCCTGAACCGGAGCACTCATCGGCCGCGGCTTGGCATCAGGGCATTAGTTTCAATGGCGCGGAGTCGCCGCCGCCGCTTGTGGTTGCAGCGCGGTCACTTCATCGTGGGGAGGCGTTGGAGCGTCGCGTTGGTGTACTCACGAAGGAGGTAAAGGCGGAACGCCAGCGAGCTGATGAGGCGGAGCGGGCACGGAAGGGTTTGCAGGAAAAATTTAGGAAGTTGCAGCAGGAATTAGACGCCGCGGCACGTTCGTTAGATGAGACGCAGCAGCGCCTTGCGGAGAAGGCGCACTTGCTTGATGTGACGCAATCTGAATTAGCCGCAGCGAGGACGATGCTGCGTGTGGAGCGCACTTCCAAGTCGACTGCGGAGCGGGAGAGCCAACTTGTCGCGCAACTTGAGCAGGCCCGCTCCGAGTACTTAAATGAGAAAAAGACGAACGTCGACTTGCTGATGCGTGTGTCAAAGGTTGAACAGCATGACTTGAAGCTGAAAAAGGATCTGGCGGCAAAGACACAAGACGTTCATGAGCTCGAACAACTTCTTCTTGAGGAGACGGAGACGTCTGAGCGGTATTACCTTCGGCTGCGCTATTATCGTGATGCCTTCGGTATCTCAATATCGCATTTACGCAGGTTGTTTGCCGCGCATAAAAAACAGGTCGCCACACTCCGAGGCGGCTTGGAAAGTGGTGGGGGTGGCTGCGCTGGTGAAGTTGGTCGCGTCGATATGGCGGGTCTTACGTGGGAAGCGGCGGCATGCGAGTGTGCACACAGTGAGGCGTATGGTCGTGCACTGCTTGAGCAGGAGTGTCTTAGCGCCACGTTAGAGCTTCTCGGTCAAAAAACTCTTATGTATGAGCTCGTCACTGGGGCAGCAAACGATGAGCTTCTGACGCTGCGTGCGATGTCCGCGGAAGACGCGGAGGAGCCACAACGACTACGGTGCAAAGTCGCGGCGTTGGAGTCCATCATTGAAAAGACGACCGAGGAGAGGCTTCAGTGGCAGGCAACACTTCAAACCAGCGAGAGCACGCGCAAATGCCTCTCACGGCAGGTGGAGGACCTGACAGATCAAGTGGAGCAGCTGCAGCAGAGTAATAATGCGCTCATTGCAAAGGTTGTGGAGGCGCAGTCGTCGGATGAGCTTCACGCACGCGGCGTGGCGAGCAGCGACGGCGATCAGCCGCCTTACGAGGAAGAACAACAGGAAACAGAAGAAGTGGAAACACAATCCATTCAAGGGAAGCAACAAAAGCGACAGCAGATTCTGCTGCGACAGCGTCTAGAGAAGCAGCTGGCCCAGTATCAAGAGGAGATGGGGCTGCTGCACGCGCAGCTGGAGAAGGAAAGAAACGATAAGGCGGAGAGATCCCGCTGCATGCAGCGGGAGAAGGAAGGATTTGCGCAGGAGTTAAAGCGTGTACGGAGTGAGTGCAATGCGTCGATAAAGGAAAGCACACAAATTGTGAAGGACTACGAAGCACGTCTAAATGAATTACATGAGATGATTACTACGCTGCGCGCGGCGCTCGAGGAAGAATGCAACAATGCCGACAAGGCAAGGGATGGGATGATACGGGCGGATCTAGCGAAACGGGAAATGATGGAAGAACTGCGCTGCGTGACAGCCTCGCGGGATGCGCTTTTGATACGCTGCGATGACGCCGAGCGACGCTTTAATGATTTGCATCGTCATGTACAGGAGCTACAGATGGCTTATTACGAGCTGGAGAGGCAGCTCTCTGGGATAACGCCTTCCACCGCTGATGTTTACCTCACCATTGACCGCGGGGACAATGGTGCCGGCGACGGGGAGGACAGTTGGATGTTGAAGGCGCAGCGCGAGAAGGAGGTGCTGGAGCGACAGAAGCGGAGTGTGCAGCGCCTCAATGAGGAACTGCTGGCGACGGTGCGACAGCGCAATGAGTCCTTGCGGGCGGTGTTCCGAGAAATTACAAAAATACAGCGCGGCGGTGTGTCGCCGGACATGACGGAATTGATAGCTGCTAATGACAATAGCCCGCTTTCGCAGCAGTTAAAGGACCAGTAGCCGCCGCCTCTCTGGGCTCCCCTTCCCCATCCCCTTCCCCTCCTTGTTTGTTGTTGTGGGGGCAATACGATGGAGCTGTGTTCTGTGTCTGCCCGTGTGTGTGCGGCTACGTTTATGTTATCTGCGCTGTGGGGTGCACGTGCTTTTTTGCGGTCTTTTTTCTTCGTTGTGGTTTGTGTGTTTCCAAAGTCAGAAGCAAAAATAAAAAGAGAGATGAAAAGACAGGTATGTCTTCCGTGGATGTTCCTCCATGCGTGCATGCAAACTATACACGCCGAGAGAGCGAGGGATGGAGATAAATAGAGAAGGAATCGCTTTACAGCAATGAAAGAAGACACCCCTTGCACGTTGGCCACCACGCACACAGAGAGAGAATAAAAATAAAGTAAAAAAGGTATAATCCACTGTATTTTTCCGTTTCTATTGTAGTTTTATGCACGTGCATGTGTGTGTGTGTGTGTGTGCTACGTTTATGTTATCTGCGCTGTGGGGTGCACGTGCTTTTTTGCGGTATGTTTTCTTCGTTTTGGTTTGTTAACATTTTTTTTTTTTTTTTTTGGGGGGGGGGGTAGGAGGGGAAGAAGTTGTTCATGTGGATTCCTGCACTATGGGAAGGGCCTATGAATGGCATGCGCCGCGTTTAATAATGGGCTTCTCTCTCCACTTTTTATTCACTTTTTTTTTCTTTTTATCTCGCTTTCTCTACTGCGGCGCAGGTAACCCGCTCATGTCATTGAGGTTGCTGACTGCATATCATATTGCGTGGATTTGCTTCTTGTTTATTTGCGTGACGCTGGTATGCCTGTAACGTGTCTTCTCGCCTTTTCCACGGTGCGTGTTTGTGTATTTGCCTCTTTGCATCTTTATATGTTTGTCATGCATGTGGGCATCATTTATGTGGGCATTCGTCAGTTGTATGCCACGGTGTGCGTGTGCTTGTAATAATTAGGTGATTTAGAGTGTGAATGTTCTCTCTGCGCAGTGTTGTGCTCATTGCACTCGATGTGGTGAAGGGGCCGTACCTGCACTGTCATGCCCCACTGAACCCCTTTGTGCAGACTACACATGCGGCTGCAGCACCTGCACACACCAACTACGAATGTAGCAGCAAAGACGGCGACAAAGAAAAGGACAACGGGAGTTGCCATAGTGCTTCAGACTGCAAGAGCAACACGATACATGGCAACAGTTGTAAATGCGATGCATCGTCGTACACAGCAACCTCTGCCGATAGGCTTGGGGGCTTTAGTGATGTGTTTGTGCCAAGGTCGGAGTTCTGCCGTCGTGTCATGTATCTTATGGAGGCAGAGGCTGGCCTCTTATATCTCTTCTACCCTGAGGAGATTGCGGGGTTGCACTATCAGCGCAAGACTCTGCGTTACACGTTGTGTTTTGTCTTTGGTGTAGACGTGGGGCTTGTCACGCCAAGCGTGAGTCTGACGGAAAGCCTTATACAGCCGTACAGTGTTGTACTGACCGGCATCATGGAGGAGTTGCGCAAGGCAGAGCTGGCGTACGGTTACATGTCCACGGGATTTCTGCGTGCCTCGTCTCATTCCACCTCCACTGGGCCACCACGTTGCGTGTCACACAAGACGGAAGCAACGACGACGATGGATGACTCCGAAGCTCAGATTGCCCATGTGGACGCCCCTGCCGCTAGTGGTAATGGTATTGGTGGTGGTGTGGGCAGCACCTCGGAATCCGCAGCGATGTTTTCTGCCCTGCAACCTTTTTCTCATCCCGCTGAATCTTTTGTTAGCGCGACGGGAGTTGCTGCTGCTTCTGCCACGCAGACCGCACCTTTGTCTGCGACGAGTGATGAGTTGGCCCACCCAGCTGGCAAGTGCATTACTCGAGTGAATGTGTTTTTGACACCACTGCAGGACCCGGCACTGTTGCAGTGGACACCGTTGGAGGAGATGATCGCGACCCTCTACGCCTGTCTAAGCCGCGAGGAACGACAGCTGGCGCCGAGAATAAAACGCCCCCCCAGAACCGTGGAGGCGCCGGAAGCAAATGAAGACGGGCCGCAATTGACGAATACAAAAGAGAGGGAGAAATTGCTTTTACCCTTGCAGGAGCGTACTGTCTCCGTGCGACTCTCGCAGGCCCATTCGTATCACGTTCGTCGTGTGACTCAACCGTATGTGTTGCAGCATCATACACTTGATGAGGTGCCTATTCCCATTAGGAGCTACACGGCGGAGGTGTTTGAGTGGGTAGACTTGACTATTCAAGATGTCTTCAAGGCGGTAGATGGGCACCGCACCATTGCCAACATTGTGCAAATTCTCGCCGCAGGACATGAGTCATTTGAGGAGGAGGAGCGGAGGGAATCTCGTATGCTGTCGCCGCTGAGCAGCCCGTACCAGGCAGTGTTACCCTCACACGCGATGACGTGGACACGATTGCCTTGTGCCAAAACTGCGGCAGGGGGTGTCGCCTCGAGTTCGTGTTTGCGTGGTTCAAACACCGTGCCGCCGTCTGCGGCAGCTGCCCACTTATCCTCCCATGGTGCCGACACGCGGGTGCTCTCTCCACTATCTTGTGGGTCACGCCCCTGCATGAGTCCCTTTCTGATGCCGTCAACGGGACAAATCCCACCGACCTCGTTTCGTGTAGCCCACGAACGAGCTGCGGATGATACGGTGACAAACAGCCATGACTCGGGGCAGGTTTGGTCGGCTGAGTTGGAGCTTATTGTACTGGAAGCGTTGCAGCATCTTGAGGTGTGCAACTACGTGCGGATCGTGCGTCCGTGTCAACTCGAGAGCACATACAATACAACAAGAGCCTTTTCGCTGGTGATGAGCAATCGACAACATACCTCACGCCGCATCATTGGTCAACGCATGCTGCTCGTGGAGGAAGAGTTTTATCGTCTTCGAAAAAGGCAACAGGCTGCACAGCACGATAGACAGCAAGTGCATCCAAGGCGATTGCAAGAGTCAAAGGATGGAGTGATTACCGGATTTAGTGACTCTCCCAATGATGTTTACATCTTGAGATTGCCGGCAGTATTATTGGCCAAAGCCTCAGTTGACTGGCAAGATAAAAAGAAGGACGAGGCCATAAAAGGCGAGAATGAAAAACGAGAGCTACAGCCACAAGAAGCAGAGGCAGAGCGACATGTGGAGAAGGATGTTATGCTGGATTCCCTTGCAATTGTAGAACAAACAGCGCATTCTTTGCCTCTTTTGGGGGCGATGCCCACGTCAAATGATGTGGTAAACGAGCCAGTGAGTGAGTTAGAAGAGGCCGCAGCCAGTGGCACAGTATATAGTGAGTCAGATATAAATGCTGCAGCTGCAGCATCGCTCTGTGCCCTCGGTAAATTCACGAATAACACGGTGGGTAATGTCCAGTGGGAGATGCGCTGCATTCCTGGGTGGTCTACCGCCTTTGCGGGCTGGGAAGAGATGTGCTGTAAGGCACTGGTGGAGATTGCGTTGCTCAATGACTGGCTGGTGGAGGTCGGGGGGAGGCCAGCATCTTGCTTTTAACCGTCGTCATCGAGCAAAGGCAGTAATAGCAGCAGGAATAAGTGCGGGGGGACAAAGCAAACTGCCTGGGACCCTTGTACTCATCGGCGCTCCCTCTCCCTCTTTCTCTCGGATATCTTTTTTGTGACCACAATACATACAATTATTTAGTTGTTGTTATTTTTCTCTCTCTTGCTCCTCATGGGATTGTGGGTCCTCATGTGGCGAAGACACATGAAAGGCACTGCGGTGCAGCTTGCTTCCAAGGCCATTGTTGTGACAAACAACGACAACAACTACAGAGGAAAAAAAAAAATGGTAATAATAAGGGAGAGCATCCAGGCGCCTGGGTAATGACACAGAGGGGGGAGGGACGGAAACGACGATGAACGTGCCGTTTGGGACTACTGGCAGGCGGGAAGAGGAGGCGTTAGTGGTGGCAGTGGATGTGTTTCCACCAGTGCCTAAAGCTACGACGATTTTTGCAGCGCACACAATTTCCATTCTTTGGGTCTGTATGTGTCCCTTTATTTTTTTGCAGCAACAGCGTTACGACAACGGGTAGTGGAAAAAAAAAAGGATGTGATTCTCTTTGCGGGCGGGGTAGGGCGGACCTAACAGGCGAGTCGCACCCGCCTATAATGGCGGCGGGGTTATATAAGGCCCCTGTCAAGTACGTTATATTATTGCAAGGGAAAGCAGGCAGACGACAATTGTTTGTGTATTATTGTTATTTGCGGGTGTTGACAAGAGTAGTGGCTCTTTCTCTCTTTCTCTAGTTATGTCATTCTACATCTTTGGTCATGCAGTTGTGTGTGGGTGTTGTGCTTTCTACTTGTTCGGTATATTTTTGTTTTTCCGTTTCTGTTGTTCCTACCAATGCCATACCCCCAATGCATCCAGACAGCAGTCCGCCGTGCAACGTTGGATAGGTCTTGTAATGGCGCTATTCTCTCTCTCTCTATCTCACACACACACACACACTTGTGGGAGAATGTTTTTTTCTTGCTTTTTCTGTGGAATTTCTTTGTGTTTGTGTGTCTTGTTGGAAACGACGGCAACCCCAACGCGTATATATATATATATATATATATATATATATATGTACGTAT